TTTGATCCTTTCGTGACTGAAGATTCATCATTGCCGGCCATGGAGATTAGTTTGATAGAGTAACTGAGATTTTTGTAGCAGAATTTTAGATAACAAAATCAAAAACTCTAAACCTTGTAGAAGTTAGGTTTAGGTCTCTGATACCATGTTAAGAAACCTTAGTATTGTAAAGGTTTTCTTATTGATCAAGTTGTGAGGTTGTTAACCTTATAAAGAGATTATATTAGATCTAATTGTAGTGGTAAGTTTATGTTTACAATGGGTCAAAATAGGGCCCAATAAATATAGAACATAATAATGTCAAAAGTAAATCATATTTTTATTTAAAATTAAATTTTGCAAACTCGATAAAAAAACAAATTAAAATAATAATTACTAACCGATAACAAAAACAAAAAAGTCTCCATAAGTTATGGTCATGTTTGTAAACAAAACGTATGTGAATGATCTATCAAACTAAGATCAAAAGAGAAAGTATAGCGGTGACGCTGACTCCGATCCAAACAGTACTACAGTTTGAAGCTGCGCTATGTGGAGCTGGTGATGGACTCATCTGATACCGTGAAGGAGACGAGGAGGAGGTGCTTGGTGATCGGACCGGTCCGGGAACTGGAGCTGCGACGGGACCCAACGAGGCTGGTAAAACGAGGATTCGAAGCTTTTGTCCTAAATCGCAGTGACCAGGAACTCCGCATATAAAGTTTTGGAATCCCGGTTTGGTTAGAGTGACCGAGTCAGACCCGGTTTGGTATCTCTCTAGCGGTTTAGACGGTTCACACAGCTCGAAATCATTGAGAGTGACTTGAGTAACGTCGTGGAGTTTGTTGTTGTATTTGAATACCAAAGAGTCTCCGACTTGAAAAGTTCTTGAAGAAGCCCAAGCTTCGTAATCGACGCCAATCATGGTCCATCCGTTCGAGTCGCCAACTTTGTGGACGGTTCCTCCAAGGGCAACTCCAAAAAGAGCCGCAAGAATTAGCAAAGAAGTGAACAAGACGTTGCTCTTGATCAAAACCATGATTGTTGTTAAGGTGGTTCTTCTTCTTCTTTTTGGAACTTGTTGTTAAACGAGTTTGAGAGAGATTACTAATGGAAGTTTTTGAGTTTGTTTGGTGAGAAGTTGAGAGAGGGACCAAGAGTGTTTATATAGGGAGGTGTCTTGGTGCACCGCTAAATAATAATAATCCTTTTCCTACATAACATATTATTATTACTCCTCGTTTTTATTTTCTTTTTTCCTCAAGTAAAATCAAACACCAAAGACCTAATCCTATTCAAGTTTTGATAACTTCTCTATATCAGGATTATATTATTCAGAACCTGGAATCCATGTGTTACAAACAAGATCACATGATTATCAGAAACCTAAGAATTGTATTTGTATATAACATTCAGCAACTCCAACAATCCTCCGAACAGATAACAAGTTCAATGGTGCAACTCTCCAATCGTTACTAACTGTATATAAATAAATAAAACGAAGAGAATTATAGCAACAAGCACCAGTGGTCTAATGGTATTATATTATCCTGTCACGGTATTCGAACCCGGGTTCGATTACCGATTGGTGCAATTTGGGTTTGAGCTATGATGAACATAATTTGAGCTGTGGTGATGAATCTTCGGATGTGATATAAACCTCGCTTTCCTCTGAGCTCACAACCCCTTTTTTTTTTTTCTGATTCAACAAACTTCAACATTATTCAAATAGTGGTTTATATTAAAAAAAATATTCGATACAAAACTTTTGGATTCCACACCACTGAAACACCAGAGAGACTCCACAGACGTTACTTATTACTTAGTGATTCTCAACTCAAATACAAGAACAAATCTACCCACAGTCTCTCAAGCACTGATGTTTTCGACACTGGCACTTTTATCTACTCGCTTGAATATTCCTGCAATTACCTGGTGRTGAAAACGCATAAGACACAATTTAGAAGAAGAATAAGATACCTTAATCTATAACGGGTTTTTACGAGGCTAGAAAATACCTTTCCAGGTCCTAATTCATAGCTGCTTTTAAGTCCTCTGGATAAGAGAGTCTTTACTGTTGTCTCCCATTGGACTGGAGAAGTCACCTGCAATTATAACACTCGGATCTTTATTTATACTGCGCGAGCAGTAAACAAAGGTAATGCATAGCTCTTTCAAGTATTGATTGTTTGTTTCACCTGGCGTGCAAGTATCTTCTTGATCGTGTCTGGATCTGCATGAGGCTGTGCATCGACATTGGAGATCACTGGTATCCTCGGACTTCTTATCTCCGTTGCTGCCAATGCAGCTTCTAGTCTCGACACTGCTGGTTCCATGAAACTTGTGTGGAAAGCACCTGCAACAGCTAGACGAACCTACAGAGCCAACCATCATGTTACATTTAGCCTCGAGGACGAGGGCATAACATAAGATAATGGAATTAGAGAGAGAGAGAGCAAGGATACCGTCATTCGGGCCTTGAATGACTTTGCTTTGGCTTCAACAACTTCGATTCCTTTAAGACCTCCAGATACTGCATAATTACCCTATAAAACCAGACCGTACAATGGAATGTGAATAATTTTTATACAAGTCTACAATGGAAAATACTCATGGAGGACATGCATACCGGACATAAGTAATTTGCGATCTGAACTTTGTCAGCTTCATCTACTTCCTGATTTGCTGCATCACACAACAGCTGAACCTTTTCTGAGTCCAACCCTATGATGCTAACCATGGCACTCTTAGCAGCATCTGCAGCAGCCTGAAAAAGCATTTCATCAGAAACTAAGTCATCAAACAGCTGTTCGAGGTTCTAATAGTAAAATAAGGTCACTAAGTAGTTCAACCATCACAACTACAACCTTAACTACGTTGCATAATCAGTCTCATAAAATCTTACCTGCATGGCTTCTCCTCTAAGTTTTACAAGCTTCAGCCCGTCCTCGAAGCTTGAGAGTTAAAACAGTAACAGAGAAAAGAAGAGAAGTATTTAAGGTGATGGTGCAGAGGTAAAAATGAAACAAAGCAACATGTTTTCTTACAATAATATTTGAAAGTCCATGATTGGGTACCACCATCTTTCAGTTAAGGATATAGATTCTGTAGTTAATAAACCCAAAAATATGATAAACAGTTTCTGAATGACTTATTTACAACCAAACTGATGGGTTAAGTCGTAGCTCGAAAAAAATGTTCTCCTTTTATCACTAAACTGTCCTAATTTTGGTTTCTTTCTAACATGATTCAGTGTTGTATGATTAACTAACCTGAAGGCTCCAGCAAATGCGAGAGCAGTGTACTCTCCCAAACTGAGACCGCAAGTCACATCAACCGAGTCAATTATTTGTTCACCGCCTTCACGAACACGGAGCAATTCAACTGCTGCTAAACTTGTGACATATATAGCAGGCTGATACAATGAAAGAGACCACAAACTTAAACACCATACCAAAATGTACGTACATGAATATCACAATATACACTAAAAGGAAACATGACATAGAATGATTCAGTTCTGCTCGATATAGTTGACAAGAAAGTAAATCAATGAACTTAACAACCGAAATTGCAAATATGAGATACCTGGCTTATGACCGTTGAATCAAGCTTCTCTTTTGGTCCATTAACACAAATGTCCAGAAGATCATACCTGAAAAAGCCACCATAATGTTTATTCATTCACTAAGTGAAGAAAAAGTTTTCAACAAAAGAACATACCCCAAGATATCATTAGCTTTCTTATACAATTCTCCAGCTGCTGCAACACTCTGAGCTTCTTTACCCATCCCTACAGCTTGAGCTCCCTAAGATATTATTGCAAATTCATCAGAAAAAGGACACAATATGATTTTATAGTCCGGACCCAAATTACAATTACAATCAGATTAACCTAATGCTTCAGTTTTGGCATTATCAGAATCTAAGCACCAAAGAAAGATTGGACACTTGGAAATTCCCAGAATCGAGACGAAATCAATAGACTTCCTACACTAATCTACATTGATAGGATCACGACGATTCAATCCAATTCCAGGTATCGGAAATTAGAGAGAGGGTGACAGAAGTGGATTTGATTACCTGACCGGGAAAGAGAAAAGCAGTGGTGGGTTTGTAATCGGCGAACAAAGAGTCGTGGACAGTAGTCTGAGATCCAGCGGAGACGCTCATGGAAACCCTAGATCGGCCGACGGCGAAGCAGAGGGAGGAGGAGGCATTTCCGGAGCAGGAGAGATTGTTGAGAGGTACGGAAGGGAGGAGCAAAGAAGAGGTGGCCATGGAGGGAGAGGTGCGCAGGATAAGAGAATGAGACGGAGAGATGCGTAAGATAGTACGGTGAAGCAGTGAGAGCATTCAGAGAAGCTTTTTAAAAGCTTAAAGCGGAGTTAACGAAGAAGAAGAGATGGGTAGATGGAGGAAGTTGAGACTCCCTGAAAAGTAGATCCAGTTCACGTCATCGCATTTATCGACACTAGAGCCCATACAACGATGATGAATCCTAAGATTCTCTCGTCCTCAATGTCGCTACCATATAAACAAGAGTTTCGAGTTGCAAATTCCGGCTCATTAACCATCAAGCTCAAGTCAAAGCCGATAATCATCGAACTTTTCCCAAGATGCCAGATTACTACTGACGTATTTGGATCCACTGCACCCGGAAAAGATCTAATTCTAAGATGAGATTCATATTCGATGTTAAAAAGAAACTTCGATATTTCAATCGAACCAGGAGGAATAAGATGGATGGCTTTATACAAAACCTTTACAACGATACCGCGACTATTCACAGTTGAAGAATTTATGTCTACCGAGTTCAACAAAATCAAGGAAGAGATGACAACAAAGTCATGTGCTGATTGTCATACAGATTTCCTCCAAAAGTGCAAAAATCCACTTTGGCTCAACAGGGACTTCTTTGTTTCTTTGCCATTCAAAGAAGACGTCCACACCACTCCAACAAAAGCAAGTCATGCAGGAATGCCACATACCCTGTTACTACAGGCAAATGAAGAATGTGATCAACTAGTAGATTAAGGAATTGTTTCGGCAACTAATTCCCCATGGGCATGCAAAGCATTCTATGTCAACAACCGTGCAAAACAGGCAAGAGGAAAGCTCAGACTATTCATTGACTACAAACCCCTCAACCAATATCTACAAGATGTCAAATTTCCATTGTCAAATAAAAGGACACTTCTCCAACATCTTC